TGACAATAAAAGACTGTTGGATATTCTTCGAGAAGGCATGACAGTAAAATTTTGACCACCCTGTAGTCCTTGTGGTAGGGCTGGTTGGATATTCCACAACTAGTACTTCCATGTACTGTACGTTTAGACAACTTTGAGTACTCCAATTGCCTACATATTTTATTGCACCTTACGTCTATATTGCTTGGACCAGAGAGAATATTGCTAATTGACCAATGAAGCAGATCGAGGAGATATTGTTGGCGTTTGCCTCCGTTCTGCTGAGATCGCTACCCGCAGCGCGCTTCGCTCCCAATCACTCTATTTCTTCTATGCTGTATATTTCTAATCAGCTACATCATGTATCTTAATGTACTACAGCTCTCCAGCGAGTTAAAGCTATTGTGCGTTCCATGGCAACTATCCCCGACTTTCCGATGTTGCAGCTATAACGATTCAATGACTTCGGATAAAAACTCTTTTGTAACGTCTGCCCCCTGACCAGACATCCATAGAAGTGAAATGATGATTACACAGAGCTCGACCAGGATGTATCAGACGGTAGGTACTTGCGGAGCAGCGAAAATATGCCATATTTTGGTATTCCCCCTCAGACAGTGTGCAATAACAGATATTTTCAAAGTTTCACCACTTTGGGCGTTGTTGAGGCTCAAGTCTCAATTCGGGCACATTGTTGCCGTAAACGTGTTGGTTATAAAGTGGACTACACACAGCAAAAATCAAAGCTATTTGGTCGGCCTATAGAGGACGAGCTTTATAGGCCCTGGGTGTGAAGCTTAGCAAATTGAATCGATCCCAAACTGCCAGGACCGCCATGTAAACTGGTGGGAGAAAATATCTTGGTTCTGTGACTAACTATCGAAGAAGGAAGAATCCACCTGGAAAAGGGCCCTGGAGCAAACAGAGAGGCTAGCCTTAGGCAGCTAGATTGCTGCCAAGGCAGGTTGATGCATTTTAGCCTGGCCTATTTGTAGGGAACCTTCAATACACATATTGCGCATCTGACATGGAGGGCAAATTTTTAAGACAAACTGACTGCATAGACAAGTAACATAAAACCGTTCCGAACTTTGAACACGAAAAATTGAAGCCTACGGCCAGACACACAAAACGATCGTGAGTACATAAGAACAGAGGTGCCTGTTATCCACATGTGACGGGTACATACCTTGTAAGCTAAGCCACTTCTTTCCCCGCCATTTCAGCGTGCTCTATAGCAGGTTTGGCAGTGAACAATTCCACTGCCACATGTTCGTCATCACCTGCGAAGAGTCGGTCAACATCTTCAAGCTGAAGGCCTAGAGTTTCGTTAACATTGGTTCAGAAATCATGAAACATTTTCTGACCTTTGGTCTCTGGAAAGAAGAGATAGATGATGGGGACCCAGAGAGTATTCAATACAGCGAATATAATGTACGTTTTCCAGCCAATGTTGCTGATTGCTGGTGGCGTTATCTGTACAATAAGATAATTGCAAATCCAATTCGCGGCTGTACTTATTGACGAGCCACGTTGCCGTAGCCGTAGAGGTAGGATTTCTGATGGATAGACCTGGTGGGTCTAGTTAGCCAGAACAGTCACTCCGTTAGATGTAAACTTACCCAAACAGTTGCTTGAAAACCAATAGTGAACGCTCCTTGGAATATAAAAAGCATTGCTGCTGCTGCAATGCCACTCTGGTGAGCGATGGCCGTACTATTCTGAACCTGGTAAATGAGAGCCGTCTGCGCAACCATTACAGCAGCCATGACTGAAACCATTGACAACAATAATGGACGTCGGCCGATGCGATCAATCAGGAACCATGGAATGAAGGAGGCGATAAAGAACCATGTTTGCAGAAAGCCCGACATCAAGCTAGACATATGCGCTGAAAACCCAACAGACTTCTCAAACAATGTCCCAGAGTAGTAAATTATGGCGTTGATTCCGCCTAGTTGCTGGAATATCTGAATGGCACATGCAATAAAGAATCGCTTCTGACTCTGGATCTTATCATTCTTGAGAAGGTCTTTCCAAGAACCAGCTCCGATAGCCTTTTCAACGGCAACAGTGCGAATGATATCTTCATGGAGGGCTAGAATATCAGAGTCGGGTATCTTTCCATGATTTAACCGGCGAAGGACATCCAATGCTTGGTCATGGTGGTCATGGGCTGCAAGCCACCGTGGGGTCTCGTCCACAAGGAGCAGTAGTATAAGCATAGGGAGAAGAAATGCGCACTGGAGGATAACGGGTACACGCCAGGAGTAGCTAGCGGTTTGTGCGGAGAAGCCGTAATCAATCCAATACACCAAGAGGATTCCAAAATTAAGGGTGGATATTTGCATACAGACATCTGTTCCGTGTTAGTATTCAGTATCGCGGCATTTGGCAGACGGTAGCACATACACAATCCTCGGGAAGCCTTCGGAGCAAACTCGGCCTGCATTACTGGGACTGTCGAGTTCACCATGCCAAGACCAATGCCAGAGACAACCCGCCCGACGATGAGGTGCGCTCGATGATAAGCTGTAGCTTGTAGAACTGATCCGACGATCAGGGTGACGACGCCAATAGCAATACTTTTCTTGCGTCCCAAGCTTTCGCCTACGAACGCAGTACATATACTCCCAAAAAATGCACCGACCTCCATGATAGAAACAATAAGGCCAACCATGGTTGGATTAGGCGAATCGAATGTCTCATTGAAGGCACGTTGGTTCACGAGGCCTCCCATGAGGCCATTGTCATACCTGTATCTGGTCAATCACGTCTATTGAAACCTGCAAAGCCAAGCTCTTATCGACTTACCCAATCTGCATGAAACCAAGCGCCGTCAACGCCGTCACGGCAGCAAAGAGGTTATTTCCTTGTAGTTTCATGCTGTAGCTGGGGTGCGAGTTACGCAGTGTATAGCACAAATTGTTAAATACAACTCGGAGAAAGTCACTGAAACTTCGCCGCGGAACGTAGTAGCTTAGTGAACTGCCTTAGGAGCAAAACGCAGAGGAATGTAAACACAAATATTACATGCAGAGAGAGCAAGGTTCATCCTCATATAATGTCCCGTTAAGGGAAATATGTCTTCGGTCACATGGGTTGTTTGGGCCCATTGAGGTCCAAAATTCAAACTGAAGCCCTATACTATACGAGCAGGGCGCAAACCTTCGCCTTCGACACTAACCGCGCAGATAACTGGATTCCCCACAGAGTGGCCATATGTAGGTTTAGAGCCAAATGCTATCATTTCAGTCACCGATAGCGGGTCACTAGACCTCATTATATCGGTAATTAACTGAACTGGGTTGAATAGGAGGTAAGAGTGACCAATAAATCTCCGGTTTCTTTGGATGTTCTAGACTCATTTCGAAGGCCAGCAATATCGGGGGTGGCGTCAAACTTTGCTTAGACCATGGTTCAATGTACTCTTCAGCAATATTGTTTCGGCCGACAAGGTATTGTGGCAGAAAACCAACTTTGCAGACATTCGGATCTGGAGTGTGGCATACGAGCCCCAATGGTGTTAAAAGTCTGGGGCGTCAAGCCATCAATAACTTCGCACCAATGACCCGCAATTGCCGAAACAGCAAAATACCACGGTATTGTTAAGATGAGCAGAGCAACCCCTGAGAATCAGAGCGTTTACCGATAGATTCTAAATCGCTATGCATTTATCCTGCCAACTGCTTTGAAAAGATCACTTATGGGGAGAGACCGAGGAGATCAGGTAGTTCCTCGCACCTAGGGCTATAAGTCAAGCTTTTCAAGCCTATGGATGAATTCAGGAGATAGGCTTCACGCACGAATCACTGCCAGTACTAAGATGCGGGGTAAGTTGAGCACTGCCTATCGGTTACCGATTTGGATGCATAATGTATGTCGGCAATTGAGTTGTTCCAAACAATCGGCTAATGCTTATGGATTTGAGTTTCAGCCCAACTCGAGGGTTTTGGTTTTTTTTTTTTTTTTTTTTTTTACCTAGTGTTGGTATCACCAGCTAGGTACTGTGTACACAGTTAAGTGGACAGTGGTTATGCTTCCAAAGCAAAAGTCAATTTGATTCATGTAAAAATAGATGTGTCTCCTCCTAGGTCAAGGCCCAATACCCCTGAATCCATACGGCGGGAGCCGTTGCTTAGCAAGATTACGTACAACCTGTCTTTGCTTATTCTGACGGGAGTATATGTCCCGACAGTTTGCAATAAAGGTTGTAATGTTCAAGACACCCTAAAGACCATACGGGTCCAACACAGAAGCTATTTTTAATTTGTCATTTACGACTGTACTGGAATACTGCCAAGAAAGGGGTTCAGGCAGAGTAATGGGTATAGCGTGTTTGGGACAGATTCGAGAGAGAATCTCTTTGTGCAAGTGGTGAAACTAATTTCGATCCTTCGTGTATTCCACCTCAGACAGACGAAGAGCTAAAGAATGGTGGCGTTGAAAGGAAATCATTTTTTGATATGATGCATAGAAAGGGGAGCTTTAGAATGGTCCGATTGTGCGCAGTCCAATTACGCCTACGAATCCTCCATGGTCTGGTTTGTGGTCCCCAGGCCTTTAAAACTCCCAGGGTCAAAAATGCTGCATTGTCTCACTATCACACTGATATAAATGAGCAGAAGAACCCTTTTCTTCCAGACCAAACGTACTTCGTGTCAGGATTTTGTGCTTTGACGTGCTCGGTCGTTCGCTATGGATAGGACCAGCAGGTGTTTTTATCTCGATGGTTCGCCCCGTTCGCTCCAATTGGTGCCCAGACGGAGGCCGTCCCATTACTGCTTCCAGAAGTAAGCGGAAAAGTCTACTTATTAGGTCTTATTGCTCTGATATCAATTTGCTTGGGCTTGATTTTTTCCTTGGCTGAAGGCTACAGGGAAAATGAAGTCCAGGAAAAAGTGGAATTTTCCTTGTTTTATGCGCATTTTCTGTCTCCGTCCATATAAAGAGCAAGTAGACGTCCAGAGCAGTATATCCAGATGCGCAGCATACAAATTTCGTCAAATCTGCTGGGGCTTCTAGAGAGGAAAGATTAAGTGTCCCATGTTTCCATGATACTCAGCGACTTGAATACCACGGTTTCCTCCGCCGAATCTCACATGCATGTCGCCAGATGCCGCCGCAGCACCTGGCTCACGAGTGTCCAACAAATTGAGGACAGCCTGAGAATGGTATATCGCTGGGCTCATTCCATCCGCATTTTTGAATCTTTTGTTGCCCACTGCTTCTATGGCCTCCGTGACTTTCTGCTGCTGTGAAGATACTGATCTCTTGTTGTCCTGATTTCTAAAAAGCGTTTTGGTTAGAATTATGACAAGCAGGAGATGGAGAAATCAAGACATACATCAAAACTGCGACATGCACACATTGAAGAGCCAAATTGCAGGCGGTAAGGCCATCGCGTAGCGACGACATTGCTAGCGGAGTAGATTCGAGCTCGTAGCATTCCGCGATGCAGCAATATAAGAGCGAAAAGACATAGGATAGTACATTACCGTCTAGAGAGCCCCATTGCTTAGCGTTGAGGCCTTGTAGGTTCAGAAGCAGGTTGCCAAGGCGTTCCGCAACTCCAACAACTTGGGTATTCTGAGATGCTGTGTCCTGAACCATGTCTAGACATCTTTGGGCTTTGTTCAAAGCATGATCCAGAGCTGTTGCTGTAGTAGCATCGATATGGTTTTCCGAATTTGAAATCAAATTGTCTTGGGGGTGAATGACTGGTCTTGGTTCGGTACATGGATAAAGGTTACCATGGTTGGACGGGAAGCATGTATTTATGTATTTCTTCACCCACAACGTCACGTCCGGGTCAAACGCTCTTCCACAAAGTGCACTAGTATGGTATATACAGCGACCGACCAATCAAAGAGCACCTAACGCCCTTATTAAAAAGATAGCAGACCCTGGGAGCCCAGGGTGATTCCAGGAGCTGGTTTACTCCGAAGACATCGGACACATCTGCGGGCCGACGACCAAAACGGAGACTCAGGAAATACCATAGCCACAGCAAATCGTACGTAGCTTGTAGGACTATCCATCGTCACTATCCAGAATCGGTCACGTTCCTGTCGGCGGTTCTATCTGTGCTAGGAACACACTGTCTTGGCCCTGGGAACTCTCTTGCTCCTGGAGGCCTCTGAAATGTTTCTGGGTGCAAAGGAGTAGGTTCTAGGAGCCACCTAGCACTACAGAAGCTTTAGTTCATTCAGGATACTATACAGAGGCTCCCCTTTCGCCTTATATTACCCGATATTTATTTTTACAATATTTTCCCTTCAAGAGCAGGTATGAGTAAGGCAGGCCCCGAGGCGATGGAGAAGAAATACAAGGCTCCTAGAAGAAGTACCTGGCCTGGGAGTCTTCAATGGCTAAACTCTATAATCTACGCTGCTGTAGCCTACTTGAAAAATTTCTTATCCACCGAAATGAAGAGGTGGGATGTTGTGAAAGTAAAAAATCCACTTGCAGGGTAGATGACCTGTCAGTTAAATAAGGAAGAAAGCAACAAGTCAAATTGGAGGCAAAACGGTTTCTTGAGGAACCCTCAACTACGTCGGACGGAACAGTCCTTTTAAGCACAGGATCCTATCCCTCCTCCTATGGTCCTTCTAGGTCCCTTATCCGGATGGTCCCGAATCAAATTCAAGAAACATGCAAGAGTGATGGATCCAAATAAAAGTTAGATTCACAAAGACTTGAAAATCATGAGCGGGACCTTTGATCAGTGGCTAGAACCCAAATCATCTTCATTTCAACTTACTTTCTAGATTGATGGTGGTCAAGTCCCTACAGCCATAGAGAAATCAAAGGAATAGGGGCAGAATTACCAAGATCCCGGCCTGATGAGGTAAGGAATACTGTAAAAGACCACAACTTTATCCAAAATATTCTCAATCGACAGAGTCATAGTAAAAATCTGCCAGCTGCTTGAAAATAAATATTGGGGACCGCGAATGGGCCAGCCCACAACACCGACTCCTATCATTTCCGAGAGCCAATCGGTTTCTCGGCTTTAATACCAAAACGGGAGACTTTATTTGCATAAGCCCATGTGGTTCTGCCCAAAATCGGCATGTATTTCTAAGCTGTCTGCAAGAGATATCAGACTGGCGATTGAATTGGGGCAGATGGAGAGAGAAGTGTTGGGCTCAAACTGAGTTAATTCATTAGGAGAAGGTTTATTCAGAAGAAGATATGAGAAGATACATAGCTTCTGGAACGTTCTACAGGCCAAATAGACGAAGAGTAGCTTACCACTTGACAGAGGGGGCTTACACTCTTTGAGAGCAACAAGGAGAACACAACCACGGATCGGGCTTCAGCCTACCATCCTGTTGCCCAGAAATCCGCGTGATATTCCAAATACCTCACCTGCCTCAGCCGTACCTCCTAAGCAATAAAGACCTGTTCCATCGGACACTAACGGCCATCATGTTTGGGGTTGCAGCTCGTATCTGGACCTTTGCAATCCTTCCAATTTCTTCCCCGGCCGACAAATAGAACCTTCTTGATCTGCTGTCCCGTGGGTCGTCGCTGGGATCTGCATCGTAGAACCGTACCTGCGTCTGTCTATATTCGCGCATAGTGTTTGATTAGCCCGTCGGGTGCTATTCGTTTCCAGGGCCACATCAGTGTGATAGTAGCGTTGCACTCTTGCGAGATGGTGGCGATCACGAGAACCTAGCTCGTGGGCCTGGTTGCACATTTTACATGGCTGTCCTAGGCTCGGTTTCCTATGGAGGCTTTCCAATAAGCTCTGGTCTTTTGGTTATGCCCTCCCGAAGAAGGACAATCCTCATCCTGAGCTTGAGAGTATGTCAATATCTGTGCGGTCAGGGAGTAGAGATTCTAGTAAAAGCAACATTAGCTGGTTGCGAGTAGATAGGAAAGAAACAACATTCAGCGGCGCGGGGCCAAGGATGAACAGGATTGATTCGAGCGAGACCAAGGATCCTCCAGCCAACCGCAGGTACAGTCCAGCGTTTCTGTCAGCCAGAAATTTTCCAACCTATTATTTTGGCATCTGTTGAAGCACTTCAACCCTCATGAAAGAGACGGTGACCGTGGCTAAAACAGGCAGATGTAGAGTGCCACCGCGTTGAGCGATTTAATTGCATACTCAACAATATGTAGGAATCATATTTTTGCGGCGTTGCTTTGTTTCAACAGTTGATGAAAGTGGTCCACCATACTCAACGCAAGATTTGAGAGAAATGATCCCAGGTCGAAACTTGAGTCTATAGGCCACAAATTCTCCAAACACCGTTTCAACGTCGTTCAACGTGCTTCAACGCCAATCAAAGGACAGTGATTCTCGCTACCCTCGGCGCAACCGGTTCCTTGGTAGAGACTTGACCGAAAAATATAAAAGGGGCCGGATTCCCAGCCCAAAATTGTCAGGACTTCCATCCTCACACTTTGGTCCTCACAATTTGTTGCATCATAGTGTACCTCTCTTGCCTGCGGGCTTGAGAGCTTCCGTGACCACGGCTGTCGCTGCCACGAGCCCAGCGATGTAAGACTGTGCTCCCTCGCTGCCATGAGCCCCGCGAGTGTAGAAAGGTGCTTCGCAGGATAGGCCTGCGTGAACAACAATCCTCGCAGGGAGGTGCTGCGAAAACAAGACTACCTCGCAGGATAGGTCTGCGTCAACAATAATCCTCGCAGGGGGCGCTGTGATGACAAGTGAGACCCGCAGGAGACCGCTGCGTTAACAAGTTCTCTGCAGGAGACCGCTGCATTACCAAGTTCTCCGCAGCCTAGGTCCTGCGTCAACAAAGCGCCTCGCAGGGACATCTGCGACACCAAGAGTCTCCGCAGGGACATCTGCGACAACAAGAGTCTCCGCAGGATGGGCTCTGCGTCAACAAGTGTGCCTCGCAGGATGGGCTCTGCGTCAACAAGTGTGCTTCGCAGGATGGGCTCTGCGTCAACAAGTGTGCCTCGCAGGATGGGCTCTGCGTCAAGAAGTGTGCTTCGCAGGATGGGCTCTGCGTGATCAAGTGTGCCTCGCAGGATGGGCTCTGCGTCAACAAGTGTGCTTCGCAGGATGGGCTCTGCGTCAACAAGTGTGCCTCGCAGGATGGGCTCTGCGTCAACAAGTGTGCCTCGCAGGATGGGCTCTGCGTCAACAAGTGTGCCTCGCAGGATGGGCTCTGCGTCAAGAAGTGTGCTTCGCAGGATGGGCTCTGCGTGATCAAGTGTGCTTCGCAGGATGGGCTCTGCGTCAACAAGTGTGCTTCGCAGGATGGGCTCTGCGAAACCAAGTACTCCAGACCTTCCGTGACCACGGCTGTCGCTGCCACGAGCCCAGCGATGTAAGATTTGCGCTCCCTCACAGCCAATGAGCCCTGTGTATGTAAAAATGTGCTCCCTCACAGCCAATGAGCCCTGTGACTGTAAAAATGTGCTTCGCAGGACGAGCTCTGCGTAAACAGACGTGCTTTGCAGGGGATTGCTGCGTTAACAAGCCCTCTAGCAATGTGCAGGCACCTCTTCGTGGTGTTAGAGACCAGTATTCGATATTCAACAGTATTCGAAGAAGCAAAGACCTGCCCAACCTCCTCATAGTCTGTTTCTTTTTCCGAAGGATCATCATTGGACAGATAGAATGAGCCCTAGATAGATAGTCCCAAATTCAATGGCCAACATTATATAACAACGAAAGTGTCATTTTTATCAAAGGGGAGGTTCCCAAATGTTCTGCACTGATGGTTTGCGATCCGATAGTCCTTTCGGAAATTGACACCCTTCATTCAGGCGTAGAGCAAACATGTTGGTGAGAATTGGTGAGAGTGTTGATGTGTTGGTGTTTTGATGTGTTGAGAGTTGAGAGTTGATGTGTTGATGTGCTGATGTGTTGATGTTTGATGTTGATGTTTGATGTTGATGTTTGATGTTGATGTTTGATGTTGATGTTTGATGTTGATGTTTGATGTTGATGTTTGATGTTGATGTTTGATGTTGATGTTTGATGTTGATGTTTGATGTTGATGTTTGATGTTGATGTTTGATGTTGATGTTTGATGTTGATGTTTGATGTTGGTGTTTAATGTTGATGTGGTGAATGGTCGGGCGGTGAAGGGAGCGCTGGTCACCGTCTCACAGAGGCAACGCGGTCTCTTGCCATGTCCCCCACATCATAGAAACTTCAATTGCTTTTTTTTTTTTTTTTTGATCCTGCAAAGCAATTTTGATCCCTGTTGGTCACGCCTTGACTACGGCCTCCAACTCAGTTGAGATGATTTAATCTACAAGTTGCTCAACTATGATCACGCAATATACTGTACGCTCAACAGAACGACGGAGTGTAGAGCCATGTGATGAGGTCTCGCTCGAAAACACGAATGGCGGGCAAACATTATGGTACGATAGGCTCTATTCCTTGTGTAGTCAGAGCTGTTTCTCCACATGAATATTGCGTGTCGCTCAAACGTACCTTATGATAAAACGCCTACATTCTCAGTGAGAGTTGCTTTCGCTCGAGGTCAACATGTCATTGGGAGCTTTCGCTCAGGAATATGTGATCCGCTCCTTCTACATGTAAGAGCCGTCACATCTTTGTGAATAATATCCCGTCAGTAACTACGATTCATAGTCCAACCAATCTC